TGTTTGATCTTCCTTTATATATATATAAAAAAGCAATTTATTAATCAAATCTTTTAGTCATTGTCTGTTTTCAAGATGATTCTCGTGCTTGTGTCACGAGTTTACCGTTAAAAATTAACTTAAAATAAAAAATAATTAATTGAGCTCAATTTTGAAATATTGTTGATCTAGAGGGTGTCCCAGTATTATATACTAAAAAAAATTATGTACGACAATTATATTAATTTTTAGAGTTTATAAATACAAAATAATAGCTTGGTGGATTTATGCTGGGATCCAGACAGAGTAGGTGATCAGCATAATAAACCAGCAACAACGATAATGATGTTGCTGTAAGATTACCAATAAATTACCTAACCTTTTTTTGTTTTACAAAAGTACCCATCAACTACAGTGGCAAGAATTTCTAAGGTTTTTGAATTTGAAGTTAATTGTCCAAATATTCATGATCACCTAGGGGAATTACAAATAAGATTTGCCATATAATCCTCCTCGCCCGATACTAAAAGAATTTAGGTTGCTTTTATAGTATGTACTAATCCGCTAGGCTATTTTTGTTTATGGGTTTGATAAATTTTTTAAAATATAAAAAATATAAATTATTTTAATTATTTTACTCAAATAGTTTAATAAGTTAATTTTAAAATCTCGCAACTTAATTATTTATCTAACTGGAGTTTCAACTTAAGTTATATAGGGATTGACTTGAATTGAATTGATTAATTTTATGGATTCAGATACAATCTTAATAATCGGTAAGAATATAGCTTGCTTTTAATAAAATTTCATGATAATAACTTTTTTAATAAAAATTACTAAAACAATAATATATTATATTAATCTTAATCCCTTGATAAACTGCGTCATGAACTTCATTGAGTTTATTAATTTATTTTTTATAAAATATTTTTAAAATTATATAATAAAAATATACAATAACAAAATTGAGCAGAAACCCAAAAATAAAAACTTATTCAAGATAGTGATAACTTTATAAAAAACACAAAAATAAATAAATCTCGTAGTTTATTACCAATCAATCTGATATTGAAAGAAAAAACCAAGAAAAAATATTAAAAATAATTAACGAATAAAACACAAACTTAATTTCATAGTTATCAAATTTGACTCAGGGGTTGACTCGATAAACTAAGTCAACTTGAGAAAATAAATAAATTATTGTTTGAGGTTTTAATAACCCATATTAAAATTTTAAGAAACAATTCATGTTGTTATAAATAATAAACTTTAATAAATTATTAAAATGATTTTAGATCTGCTAAGCTATGATCTTTATAAAGACAATATGTGAATATTGCGAGGAATGGTTAAAGCATGTATGCTTACTATTATCAAGCAGACACTTAGATATAAGTTGGGTGTTTCACACATCCGAACCCCAACCGATAGTCATAGGACAAATAATTAATGCTCACCTAACCTAATTTTTTATGTGTGCTTGAAAAATTAAGACATGTAATGTATCGGGTAATATTATACTTTGCATAAGCAATATATACAAAAATTAAAGCATATAAGCAAGTAAAAAAAATAAGGTTAGGGTTTCTTTGTGTGGGAGAGAGTGTGGAAAAATATATATATTTTTGGCTTTTTTTATTATTTTTTTGTCTTTCCCCCTAAATTTATCCTCCCTCTTTTAGTGTTCAGTGCAAACATCTATTTATAGTCAAACAAAAGTTTGTTATTTTCAATTGCTTGGTTTCCAAGCAAACTTGATAACCAAGTAACCCAAAAACAAATTAGTCCCTTAACTTATTTCTTTTCATGTATAGTCCTTTTATTCATTTTTTTTCTTGTATTTTGATTTTTTAAAAAAGAACAACATCGAGATGCTGAGAATAGATTTTTTAAGTATGTTAACAACTGAACACATTGAAAGTAGATTTTTTTTGGAAAAGATGTTGAAAATGATGTGACTATGTCAAAAAAAAAAATTATTTTATTGTTTTTTAATATTTTTGATTTTTTAAAAAAATATAAAAAATTAGGTTGTAACAGTTCATACAATAGTGAGTGATTTTGAATAACTAGGTATGAGTCTGCCATAATTAAATGAGGATTCATCCTCTATGTTAAAACTGGATAAATTATAATTTGAACAAAATAAAATACCAAATAGATTAAATAAAAGAATTTCAGGTATTGTAAATGGACACAATAGAATAAAAGGTGAGGTGTTGTAGTGTAATTAAATAAAAAAGAATAATTAAGTGACAATAATAGAAATAAGAAGTAATGAGAGCCAATGTGTAAATAAATAAAAACTAGACTATAAATGCTCTAATTTTTCTCTGTTTTAGACGAGAGTTTGAAACCAAGAGAGAGGGAGAAATTATGTGATTCATCTACATAAATTCTTGTTATTTTTACCAATTGAAATGAGTAATTAAAGTGATTAACTTAGTTAAACACCAAGAGAGGGTGATTTTAAGGTGGTGAGTGCTTTGAAAAAAGAAATTCAAGCTAGGGTTTGAAGAAAGAGGAGAAGGAAACTTGATTTTTTCTTCTATTCTTTCCTTAAATCCTTATCAAAGTGAGGTAAATAACATACTTCAAATGATTTATTCCTTTAATTTTATGTTTAACTAAGTGACTTATATATGATGTAAGTTATGATGTTGTTATTTTTAGGATAGATGCATGGTTGGTTGTTTACATATTTTAAGCACAACTATAAAATTGTTTGCGAAGAAAAAAGATGGAACTCTCAGACTTTGTATAGATTACAAACAATTAAACAGGGTAAAAATAAAGAACAAATATTCATTTTCATGAATATATGATTTGTTTGATCAACTAAAAAGGGTCAGTGTGTTTTTAAAGATAGATTTGAGATCGGGATACTATGAGTTAAGGATTAAGGAACTGAAGGTAGCAAAAACTGCATTTAGAACTCAACATGGACATTACAAGTTCTCAGTAATATCGTTTAGGCTAAAAAATGCACCAGCAGTATTTATGGACTTAATGAATAAGGTCTTTCAACCATACTTAGACAAGTTCTTGGTAGTATTCATAGATGACATCCTAGTTTATTCAAAGTCATACTTGGAGCATAAAAAACATTTGAAGCAAGTATTAATGACTTTAAAGGAGCATCAATTGTATGCCACACTTTGTAAGGGCTAGTTCTGGTTGAAGGAAGTGATTTTTCTAGGACATATTATATCAGTTGAAGGAATATCGGTGGATCCTAGAAAAGTTGAAGCAATATTGAAATAGGGAAGACCTACGAATATTACTGAAATCCATAGTTTCCTTGGGTTAGCAAGGTACTATTAAAGATTTATCAAGGGATTTTGTATCATAGCCATTCTCATGACTCGGTTGACTTGGAAAGAGGCAAAGTGAAAATAGACTAATGACTGTGAAGAAAGTTTTCAAGAACTGAGAACAAGACTCACTACTACACCGATGTTAACACTTCTATTAGGAATAGAAAGATTGGTGGTTTATAATGATACATCGAAGAAGAGATTATGGTATGTACTGATGCAATATGATAAAGCAATTGTCCATGCCTTATGACAGTTAAAGGCTCACGAGATCAATTACCCGGTGCATGATTTAGAATTAGTAGATGTAGTGTTTGCCTTAAGAGTTTGAAGGCATTATTTATATTGGTCTTGGGTTCAGATATTCACGAATCATAAGAGTTTGAGGTATTTGATGATGCAAAAGAAATTAAATATGCGGCAAAGATACTAGGTGGAATTGATAAAGGATTATGATTGTGTAATTGATTACCAACAAGGAAGATGAAATATAATCGCAAATGCTCTTAGTCATAAGGTCAAGACAACAAATGCTCAATTAGAGGATTGGGATGAAAAAGAATTGCAAAAGTTAAGAAAGATTGATACCCAAGTAGAGGCTGGATCGAATGAGTCATTAGTGGCTCAGTTAAGAGTGTGGTCAACTCTCCGAGATAGAGTTATAGACAATCAGCAAGAAGATCTGAAAGTTTGTAAGATAAGAGAAAAGGTAAGGTTAGGAATTGAGACGTCGTTCCAAATCCAAAAAAGATGGAATGGTAGTCCTTAGAAGATGAATGTGTTTACTAAGTGATCAAACACTGAAAAGGAAAGTTTTACAGGAGGTTCATGAGTCGAGACTTGCAACACATCTTGGAAGTGCTAAAATGTACCAGGATTTAAAAGAAGTTAATTGGTGGCCGAATATAAAAAAATAAGTGGTTAATTATGGAGTTTGCTAGTAAGTAAAGGTGGAACACCAAAAACCAGTTGGACTTTTACAACTATTATTGATACCTGAGTGGAAGTGGAAAAATATCACAATTAACTTTGTATTTGGATTACCTAGAGAAAAAAAAAAAGGGTGATGTTATTTAGGTTATTGTGGACTGATTGACTAAATCCGCACTTTTTTTGCCATTGAAAATGATGAAGTTAGTGGAGAAATTGGAAATATTATACGTAAATGAAGTAGTAAGGTTACACGGTGTGCTAGTGTTAATAGTTTCAAATCGAGATCCAAGATTTACCTCTTGGTTATGACTAAGTGTTCAAAAGGCTCTTGAAACAAAGTTAAATTTAAGCACCGCTTTTCATCATCAGACTGATGGTCAATTTGATAGGACTATTTAAATATTATAGGATTTACTAATAGTATGTATATTAGAGTTTGAGAGAAATTGGAAAGATCGTCTACCACTAGTGGAATTCACTTACAACAATAACTATCAGGTTACAATAGGAATAGCTCCCTATAAAGCCTTATATGGTAGAAGATGTCAGATGCTAGTGTGTTAGGAAGAAGTATGGGATAGACAACTAATTAGACCAGAGCTTGTACATATTACCTTAGAAAAGATAAAGATCATAAAGAATAGAATGAAAGCAACCCAGAATAGGCAAAAAAGTTATGCAAATAATAGGATAAGACACCTAGAGTTTGAAATTGGTGACAAAGTATTCTTAAAAGTAACTCCATGGAAACTTGTATTAAGATTCGACATAATGGAAACTGGTGTCAAGGTACGTTGGGCCTTTTGAGGTCACCAAAAGGATCAGGCCTATGGCCTACAGATTAGCTTTACCTTCTCATCTGGTCAAAATCCATGACGTGTTTCATGTCTCTCCTTTAAGAAAGGCTAAAGTAGATCCATCTTGGGTCTTGCTTTAAATTCCTTTAGAAATTGATGAAAATTTAACATTTAAAATGTAGCCAGTGAAAGTGTTAGGTTATAATATGAAAGAATTGAGGAATAAAAAGATCATTTAAAAGATATTATGGAGGAATTTTCAAATCATGGAGGTGACTTACAAGAGAGAATCTTAAATAAGATAGAAACACCTCGAGTTATTCTTAGATTCAGGTATGATGTTCAAATTTCAAGGAAAAAATTTCCTTTCAGGGGAGGAGAATATGAAAACCCAATAAATTATAATCTAAAAAAAATAAAATGCTGAATAGATTAAATAAAAGGATTTTAAGTATTGTAAATAAACACAATTGAATAAAAGGTAAGATGTTGTAGTGTAATTAAGTAAAAAAAAAATTAAATAAAAAAAATAGAAAAAAAAAGTAATGAGGGCCAATGTGTAAATAAATAAAACCTAGATTGTAAATTATCTACTTTTTCTTTCTTTTAGTCGAGAGTTTGAAACCAAGAGAAGGGGAGAAATTGTGTGATTTGTCTACACAAATCCTTGTTAATTTTACTAGTTAAAATGAGTAATTAAAATGAGTAATTAAAATGATTAACTTACTTAAATAGCAAGAAATGGTGATTTTAATATGATGAGTGCTTTGGAAGAAGAAATTCAAGCTAGAGTTTGAAGCGGGAGTTCTTTTATTCTTTTCATAAATCCTTATCAAAGTGAGATAAATAACATGCTCCAACTGATTTATTCCTCTAATTTTATATTTAACTTATTAACTTATATATGATGTAAGTTATGATGTTGTTTTTAGTATAGATATATGATTAGTTGTTTATATATTTTAAGCACACTATATATATATATATATATATATATATATATATAAAATAATGCATACTATGAATTATTTAGCTTTAACCAATTGTTTTATAGCAAATATAAATAAGATATTGTTATATGCTTGTATTTTGGAAGTCCAAATGATGGGATGTGAATTATGTTATAGGTTGAGAAATCTTTAAGTCGATAAATTGGTATCAAAAAATACAAAGAAAATTTTGCTGAAATTTCAGTAATATATATATTGGTAGCTATGAATTTATATCATATAATTTGGGTTTATATAATTAGGGTTGTTACATTAAACACATTATGTGGATTACGTAATATATATATTTATGGATTGATGGGATAGATTTAGGTCTAAGAAGACGTCTGGTCGTGCCAAACTAGAATAACAGCTCAAAAAGATTATAATTTTTTATCCGATTATTGGATCGCGCTCAAATTTTAACAAGAGTTTCTAGATGTTGATTTTCTTATATTAATTATTATATTGTTATAAAGACCGTTAAATCTTTAAATATCAAAAATCTCGTCAAGAATTTTTAATTTTAGTAATTTTAAGATTTTATTATTATTTTCTGAATTAATTGACTAGTTTCAATATCTATTATAAACGGATAGATCAAATGAGCCAAAATCAGCACACAAAATCTAATTAACTAATTGATAAATGACCAAAAAGTTTTGAAGCTTCACATAATTAAGCTATGCTATTTTTCCAAAAGAATTTACTCCTATATCAATTAATTAATTTTTAAAATTTTATGTTGTAATTGCCCAATTTGTTCAAAAACTTCTCCAAACACAATTCAAAAGGCAAATTGTCCTGTCATTCCTGCACAGTGGAAATAATTTTATATTTTGTGAGGATATAAATAAATTAGTCATTTAGCATTTCTATGGCTGTATTAAGAGAATTATAAAAAAAATATTTGTGGACCACAGAGGTTATCAAATCCAGCAACCCACTCTAACTTTGATTGCAAGTTGATCCAAATGATGAGACTTCCCTTAATATAAAATAAAATAAAATAAATAAGAGTGATGGAGAGGGAGGAATGCGATAAGCAGATACTTATTGATTCGATAGCATCCATTGCCGTCTCTAAATTCACGCGCCCAGTTTACCACGAGCTCTGCCCTGCGACAAAGAATTTATTAGCATTACCCTATCCTTTAATGCCTCAAAATAGTAGTAGATGATTTTGCAAGCGGGCGGGATTAATTTTTTAATTAAAAAATAAATATTAATAACATATTTTATAATAAAAATATTGATCATAAATTTAAAATATAATATATATTGAAAGATATATTTTTAAATATTAATATAATGATATATTAGATGATATTTTTATTTAAATATTAAAATATTGATATATTAGAGAAACTCGGATTAATTTTTAAATCTATAATCTAGGTTATGAATTAGTGATAATTCTATAAAAATTAAATTAAAAAAATTATAAATATCAATTCTTAATCAAATAGTATTATTGAAGGATGATATTGAAAAAAATAATAATATTGAATTAAAAAGAATAAAAAGAATAATTTGAATTAATATAGGCTAACATGTTTAACCTCTGACTCAGATTAGGAGATCATAATAACCTTATAAAAATAAATAAAAAAATTATAAAACATAATTTCTAACCAATTTAATATTTGATGATGAAATAAAAAATAAAATAACAATCCAAGTTAACCTGAGAGTTAATATGTTAAACTTGTAAATTGAATTATAAAATGAGAATTACTTCATAAAAGTAAAATAAAACAATTATAAAATTTTATTTTTAATAAATTTAATATTAAAAATTAAAATTAAGAAAAAATCAAAATTTATAAGATCAAAATAACTCTTTAAAAAACAAATTAAAAAATTATAAAGTTTAATTTTTAAATGAAATTAAGTGATAAAAATATAAATATAAATTAAAAATATAAAATATTATTTGAATAAATAATATTTTATGAGTATAGCTATAATAATTTAACCACACTCTTTAATTTTTTTAGAAAAACTTGTTATGCGGAATGGGTATCAATTCTCATGATAATGCAATATTACGGAGAAAGTGCAACAAAATCTTCATATTTTATCAGTATAACTAACTAGATCAGGTCAGTTATACGCAAAAAATCAAAGCATTTTGCTAGCTCACAAGTAAAGTTCAAGAAAGAAAGATCTTAATCTTCTTTTTATTATTAACATTTTCAGAATGCATCGGCAGATGTTATTGTACGAAGGATTTGGTTCACCTTAATGTCCTGTTTTTTCTTTATCATACGATATAATCACATCCGAAATTTCAATACAAAATTAAGATTTTCCAATCAAATGGAGTACTAATCTGTTAATTATTTTCTATGATTGCTTTTGAAAAAAAAGAAGAAGAAGATAAACACAATATATATAATATCTATTATAGCTTTTGTAGTTATTGATAAAATAAAATGAAAAATAAATAAATTCAGACTTCTAAATCTAGATCTTTATTTAATGATTAAAAATAACTGTTCAAGCAATCTTTAATCACATCCCACCGCTGAAGGTGGGTGACTGATTACTGGGTTACTGATTACCGGTCATAGAGATCTGAATTTGTTCTCTCCCCCGAGGCTTGGTGCTAGAATATAAATACCCCCCAGGCTTGGTGTGCTTTTTCATGAAGCCATCCATGCCGATCAAGCCATAGTCAACTTCACTTTCCAATTTAGACTGCCTTGGTGTTCCACAATCAAAGCATGAAACATTCATCCCTGCAAGGCCATATGTAACCGACCTTTTTTATTTTCTCTAGTTTGCTTTTAGTACTTGGCAATTTCAGTTCTAATGGCAAATAGTGATGATAAGATTCACGTGGCCATGTTCCCATGGCTAGCCTTTGGTCATATGATGCCATGGCTAGAGCTTGCCAAACTATTTGCTGCAAAGGGTCACAAAATCTCCTTCATATCCACCCCTAGAAACATCGATCGCCTCCCAAAACCACCTGCAGATGTATCGTCTACTCTACACTTCGTAAAGCTGCCGTTGCCCCAAGTAGAGGGTCTACCCCAGATGCTGAGGCCACCATTGACTTGCCAGCTAACAAGGTACAATATCTCAAGATAGCCCTTGACAAGGTCCAAGAACCCTTTGCCAAGGTTCTTGAGTCATTAGATCCAGATTGGATCTTCTACGATTTTGCTCAGTACTGGACCGGGCCAATTGCGGCTCAACTGGGCATCAAAAGTACATACTTCTCTATATGCATTGCAGCGATGGTGGCCTTTATTGGTCCGCCATCGCCCTTGATCGACGGTGATGATTATCGCAAAAAACCCGAAGATTTCATGATCCCACCAAAGTGGGTATCGTTTCAGACAACAGTCGCTTATAAGTACTATGACATCATTAACACATTTGACTGTGTTGAGGATGATGCTTCAGGTGTCAACGACTTGATGCGTTGGGGCTTGTGTCTACAATCATGTGATTTTATTGCAGTTCGTTCCTCCTTCGAGATCGAACCAGAATGGCTCCATGTTCTCGAAACTATCCACGAGAAACCCGTTTTCCCGGTTGGTCAGCTGCCTCCTGTAGAGTACGCATTAGAAGAGAAAAATTCAGACGCTTGGAGTTCAATGAAGAAGTGGCTTGACATGCAAGAGAAGAGCTCGGTAGTGTATGTAGCTTTCGGTAGCGAGGCAAAACCAACTCAAGCCCAGCTAACCGAGTTAGCACTCGGTTTAGAGTTGTCTGGTTTACCATTCTTCTGGGTTCTCAGGACTCGGCGTGGGATTGCGGATACTGACTTGATTGAGTTACCACCTGGGTTTGAGGAGCGAACCAAAGGACAAGGAGTGGTTTGCACAACTTGGGCTCCTCAACTCATGATCTTGGCTCATGAATCGATCGCTGGGTTCTTGACTCACTCTGGGTGGAGTTCTGTGGTGGAGGCACTTACGTTTCAGAAGGCGCTCATACTTCTAACATTCTATTCAGATCAAGGGATAAATGCTAGGGTTTTGGAGGAGAAGAAGATTGGGTACTCCATACCAAGAAACGAGTTGGATGGGTCTTTTACTAGAGACTCAGTGGCTGAGTCATTGAGACTGGTGATGGTGAGTGAAGAAGGGAAGATATATAGAGACATGGCTAAGGAGATGAGTGGTTTGTTTGGTGATACGGATAGGCAGGACAGGTACGTGGACAACATTTTGATTTACCTAAAAAGTCAAAGACCGGTCAAGAAAGCCAAGTGATTTGCCTTTTAATTTTCTTTCGCAAATTAAACAGTCAGTGCTAGCCTGTAGCTTGCCCACATAAACAGTGAAATAAGATTGTTGGGAACTGTGTAGCATTTTTAGTCATGGATTGATGAAAATATTTTTAGATGTGGTTAATTTTATATTTATATATATTTAATTAAAATTAAAATTAAATAATAAATAATTTAATATGTTTGGTTAAAAATATTTTTTAAATTAATGTTATAAAATAATTAAAATATATATATATATATATATATATTAATAATTTTAAATTTAAATATTATTAATTTAACTACTATTATTATATTATTAAATAAATAATTTTTTATATAAATAATTTTTTATTATTTTATTAAATTATTTATAATTTTATTATGTATAAAATTTATTTGACAACAATTATAGTTATTATAATTTTTTGAATGTATAATAAAATTAAATAAAATATAATCAAAAATAAAATTAAAATCATAATATAAATTAAATTAATTTACTTTAAATTAATTATTATTTATATACACTTGAATAATATATGTAAATTTTAATTTACTGTACTGATTTTTTTTTAAAAATTACTCATTTAAAAAAATAAATAGTGTATAAGAAAAAACAGAGCCGACTCTCCACAAGAAGCGGCTCCAGCATGCTTTTGTCCTGGCCTGAATTACAAACATAGATTTCAATGAATCCATAAACAACACAAATGTTTTTTTCATTACCAAACAAGCTACGCTTGTATTTTAAATAAAATATATACCCAATCTCCTAAACAAATGAACGGAGTCGGCCTGTGATTTGTCTTTAGGTTTCATTTCATAGCTTTGTTTTGAACTCTAATTTCATTTCATGTGATTGATGTATCACTTGGAATTATTTTTTTTGAAAAAAATTTAAAAAAATATTTTTTTATTTTTTTAATTTCAAGTTAACTTTTTTCTGTTTATAAATTATTTTAATATTTTAATATTAAAAATACATTTTTAAAATAAAAAAAATAACTTAATATATTTTAAAATAAAAAATACTTTAAAAATAATCATTACTTTATTTTTAAATACTCCTTGACCTAGTATGAGAGGTTGACACATGAATGAAATTCAATCCTAAATTAGATTTTATTTTGAACTAAAAAAATTTATTAACTATATTATATTTGATAGGTTAATCTATGATAGATTGATATTAATTACTTTTTAAGAAAAATATTGTTTTAATAAAAAATAACTAATTTAACTATTCAATATGTCAAGTTTATTTTTTAATCAAATCTTGAAATATATATTGCAATAAAAGAAGAGACTATTAGTAAAGTCTGGATTTACTTTTATCACTCCCATGACAATTGAACTTGTTCCTTATCTCAAATGATCAAGAGAAGAAGAAGAAGAAGAAAATGTTCATGTTTTCAATATTCAATATTCAATATACCTTGATCTAGTTTGATTTGGACAATAAATTACTAGTCAATACTTAGCTTGCTAGATTTAATGTTGATTCTATTAGAGCAAAGAAGGGGTGAGAATTTAACAAAAACATATAAAGGCATGAGTTTTTTATTACAGCACTAGATATAAATGATTTAAAAAAAATATTCCTTGAAGATCATATTTTATTATTTGTATTAGTCACAATTAAAACTAATTGTTTTATGAGTTTAGTGCAATTGAATTGTTATTAAAAATTATTGGAGCATTGATATTTTTTTTTATTAATAGGAATGTCCATATTAGTTTATGTATAATTTAATTAATTTTTAAAATTTTAAAATTAATAATAATATAAATTTTTAATAATTATTATATTAATAATTATATAATTCAAACCTTAAAATCAACAAAAATCAAATTTTTTAATCCTAAATTTTTTCCACAAGAACACCACCTACTAGATGGATACAACATCGGCATTTTGCTAGTGGTGAAGTGAACACGGGCAAGGACCGGCACCTGGAATTTATAGCATCTAGACAAGACAAGACAAGACGTTTTTTATTCTTTTATTTATTTTATTTAGGCAAATCATTTCATATTTTGATGTCACTGCTATTTAATAAAAGTCTCTTTAGGAAGATATTACTTGGTAACCACATATTAAGGATTGCATATATCATAGAAAATAATTAGCCAATATAATTGATTATTTCTAGTTTTTTTCAAAAAAGTAATGTTAAGTATAAAAAAATAATACAAGAAAAAACTATAGAAATACACATGGATCATTAGATTAGTGTAATCTATTATTGGATCTCACTTTAAAATCATGACCCGTATATTCTTATATTTGTTTTTTTTTTATATTTTATTGGTATTTATAGTTAAAATTTATTCTTAAGAGATTGCTCGGTAGTTAAGGATATATATTATATATAGATGATTTTATGAATTCATGACCTAGAGCACAAATACATAGTAACATCCATTAATTCTTCTTAAATACACCATTTTAATATAAATAAAATGTATTTGGATAGCTTGAAAATAGAGCAGCAATACATAGTAACATCCATTAATTCTTCTTAAATACACCATTTTAATATAAATAAAATGTATTTGGATAGCTTGAAAAAAAATTCTTAGTCTAATTCATTACAACCAAAAAAGCAATTATCATGCCTTTAAAACAATATTTTTACAAAGAAAACAATTATATTAAAATGATATTTATTACAAACGCCACCTTAACTATATTTATTGTTATCTTGTAATAACATTTCTTGTAAACATCACTCCAGTCTTAATATTTTATTTGATGTATCTATATATTTTTAAAGTTTTTATTTTTAATTTAAGTTTATGTTTAAAAAGATTAAAAACAAGTGATATTCTAATATATTTAGGCTTGATAGAATATCAAGCTCAAAAGATATGAAATTAGCTTGCTTCTAGGTTCTATATTCTTAAGTTCAATTATATATCAAGTCCAAATATATATTGGTCTGGTGAATGATATGAATCTAGCTGCTCGTTTAGTCTAAATGTATATGAGTTTAACGAGCTTTAACACCTAACATTCTTGGATCAATTATGCTCTAAGCCCAAATACATATGGGTCTAGTGAGCTATCAGACCCAATATTTTTTTATTCAGCTACTTGCTTAGTCTAATTACATTTGAGCCCAACGAACTGTCACACCTAGTATCCTTGGATTCAACTACGCATAAAGCTCAAGTACATATAAGTATAACGAGTTGTTAGATGTAATATCCTTAAATTCAGGTATGCGTTGAGCCTAGATAAACATGGATTTGTCAAGTTGCTAAACCCAACGTCATTGAGTTTAGTTACACGCTGAGCTCAAATAGATGTGGGTCTGGTGAGCTATCAAACTCAATATCCTTAAGTTTAGCTATATATTAAGTACAAATACACGTGGATCTAGTAAGTCATCAGGTCCATCGTTTAGGGGTTTGGTATTGTGTCAAGTCCAAATGGGTGTGGACCCAACGATCATTATAAACCCCGTGTTAGGCCAAAAAACTTTATTTGTTTATTCTTAAGGGTTTTAACATAAAATGTTAAAAATCATGAATAATCATTTTTCTATAACCCTATAAATGTAAAATTTTTCTAAGAGTTTATTATATTTTCATCAACATTAATATTGTGTGTAAGGGATATTTATCTCTCATAAATATAGTATAAGAGATTTTTATTGCATATTAATATTGTGTAGGAGATATTTATATCTCATTAATGTTATCAAGAGAAAAAGACACTTAAACCTCTCCATTGAATGACAAGGTTCAGGGAGTATATGTTCAAGAACCATATGTACTTCCCGAACAACTCACATAAATAGTTCACAATTTCTACTTTCTAAGTATTTGTACTTTAATTTCCAGAGCATTTATTATACAAAAACAAGAACAAACACTTTTATTTTTAGAATTTAAAGCTCATTCTCTTATTTATTGTAATCTTTTATTAAAAATTATTAACTTTGTCATGTAGGGTCCTTAAACCTCATAAAAGACTATTTTGCAGGTAATAGGCCTTCTACTACCAACCATTAACTTCATGAACACTGAAGAAGGGATGTTGGTATAAATATATGATTACCTACTATCTATATACTCAAAAATCTTATTTCTGAGTATATTAAATTGTAAAACATCATCAATTTGGTTAACAAGAGGGCTTTTTATTGTTCATTAAATAGTGAAAAACCATTTTGGTTTTTAGATTTTTTATATTTTCATATTCGATCCCTTTAATTTCAGTTAAAGTCTATTTTGATTCATAAAATTTTAATATTTTATATTTCTATCCCTAGATTTTTCATATTTTATATATTTAGTCCTTTTTGATTACTTAAAATTTATTTCCTAAGATTTACATATTTGATTCACATAGTTTCAATTTTAAACTCTATTTTGGTCCTTTAATTTTTTATATTTTCCTATTCGATCCATGTGGTTTGCCCATGCAAGTTCCTTAAAGTTTTAAATAACACCTAAAAGTGGGGGTTAATTAGGTCTTAATTAAAAATTAGATATTTTAAGAAATTTAACATTTTAATTTCAGCAACAACACATAAATATACAAGGTATAAATAAAATGAGATAGAGAGTAAAAGAGACACATCGATTTTGTAGTAGTCTAAACAATCACCTAATGCATTACTTGAACTCGTTCAAGTATTAATTATTAACTCATGATTTTTTTAATATGTGAGACCTTAATGATACACTAATCTTTTTATGATATTAATATTAAAAAACCTTTCACTCACAATCATTTTTAAGGATCAAAATTAAATCTTTCAATAACTCACGATCAATATTTTCCACGATAATTCTAATGCCGAACTTTGACAATTGGTATGTCTCTCATGATATCTTTCACACCTTATAATAAATAGGGTTCAAGTCTTTTGCTCAAGAATGTGAAGTTGTGAATTGATGTAAATAGAGTTTAAAGCTTCCAGAAAATTATAAAAATAATAAAAGCTTTTACATTAGAGAGTTTGGAAGCATAAAGTATTGTAAAGTATTGTTAGGTTGTTCACATGAAATAAACAAGTAGTATTTATAGGTAAAAAACCACATATGCTAGTTACTCACACAAGAGAGAT